TGCCGCTCTTTTGGTCGGCTCCAGCGGTGGCGGAACAATCGGCCCGATCCTTTGTTAAAGATGATGTTGCTGCACAACAGAACGGTGGGGCTAGTGTCTAGAGGGCTTGTTGGGGATAGTTCGATATAACTTGCCCAGCACCAATGCCTGAATTGGCCTTTCACAATGCACTACACATGCTGTGCGTTTCTTTTTTTTGCGGTCGGACTCGTTTCCGAATGGCGCCCACCATGCCTTGCACCGAGGTTATCCACTCAGGATCGGTTTGATTGGGGTCCTGGTCATCGGTTGGAAATCCGAGCCTGGGGGCCTCAGATGCTCCCACATAATGAACATGAAGCATGGCCCCTTCAGAGGAAGTCTGACAGTCTGACATATACAATTTCCCATCAATTTGTAGTATTTCTTATAACTAATAACTACTATATATATATAGAGAGAGAGACCCAATGACATCCCGTTATTTTCCAGTGCTGCATGCTTCGAGATTTGCTCCACCACCGCACGATGAAACAAGCAGTACCTAGGCCCGATTTCCAGCAGGCCATGGTGTTTGGCCAGCTGTTTGGATGCTCCCATCCAAAGGCATGGTGGAGGGGTAGTTTGGTGTTTGCACTGTGCGGACACAACTCGTGAAAGATCCGACAGATGCAAGCCCGCAAGCCGAACGTATGTAAAGCGCTCGATTCACGCGGCCTCGGCGTTTGCTTGACTTCGGGCCCACTGGGACAAGAACCACCCTATACAAGTAGCGCAGGCACAAGCTCTTCCGAAGACTTGTGTCACACGCTCTTGTAAGATCAGACCATTGAGCCTTGGAACCGGAAGAACTCCGAGGTCCGAGGTCAGCGCGCCGAGGTCGCACGCATGGCCCCCTTAGCTGCGACCTCAGGTGGCCCATGGCCCGAGACCGGGGAGATCGATATTATGGAGATCTCCGGCTGCGACTCGGGAAAGGCCCGAGACCAGTGACGGAGATGGGTGCATGGGATAGACCACGCCTGTCACATGGCAAAAAGGCTTGGTTTGCCAGCAAACCAACCAACTCGTGCGCCGCACGGTTGGCTTTGCTTGATGACGTGACGGCGAAGTGAGTGAGTGCTCAGTAGCAAGGCAGGTCCCAAGGCTGGTTTTTGGCATACTTACCTCAGATGGTCTTCGTGATGCTTACCTGAGCACACCTTTTGGACCCTTTTGGGTCCTCAGCACACTAAGCTTTAGGGTTTTTAGCTTTAGGGTCTTTTGTGATCCCTTTGGTTCAGAGTTTTGTAGTGATTTCTTTTGCCACAGAGGAAGCTAACAGTTGCACGTCTTGCAGAGTCTATGTATGTTCCCCTTTCCTTTGGCTTTGGTGGCTATCCAACTGGGCCTTTGATGAGCGATTAGCAACCTTGCAATGTTTGGCACAATGTCTAAAAGCAAGGACATGTTCAAGCAGTTGAATCCAATAAATCGTGGCAATTTTGACCAGTGCTTCTTAATGGAAGTGCTGCAGTGCTTCTTAATGGACGATTATGAAGCAGTTCTGTGTCTCCAAGCCCCTGCACTCGGCCAAACGAAGCGAACTTGCTGAGAGGTCTTTGCCGCACTTCATACCAGCCTGGGCCATGGGATGGAGCGGTCAGACACGGTCAGAATGGGTTTGTAGGGGCGGGACAGGCGGGCCTGACTCTGACTGGGTTTAGTTGCTTTGGCTTTGTGCTTGGGCGGCTGGAATTCGGCACGTGAAGACATGTTTTTGTAGTGCACATTTACGCAAGATGAGGAAGTGCACATACCCATCCTGCAGATTGGACAGGGATTGTTGTTGTTGCTGTTGCTGTTGGCTGCTGGCTGCTGTTTGCTGTTTGTTGGTGTGTTGGTTAGCCAGTTAGTTAATTGGTTCAGTTAGAAGTCGTTACTGTAGTTAATTAGCTAGTTAGCTATAGTTATCTAAGTTAGCTAGTTAGTTGGTTAGTCAAGTTTAGACGATAGTGTTATTTTTTAAATGTTTGTAATTGTTTGTCAGTTGTTGTATGTTGTATGTTGTGGTGGTAACCTGTCCTAGTGGTAGTAGTAGTTATTGTCGTTCGTTGCTGCTGTTGTTGGATTCTTTTGTGGTGTCAGGATTGATTGATACCATTGAGCAGAGTCTGTCATCCTTTCCGCAAGCCAAATAACTTATCAAGTGATGACTGGATGTATGGTTTTACGCCCAGGTGAGTTTAATGAGATGAAGAAGAACCAGAACCTCGGCACTTGATGTTCTCATGTTTGGCGTCGTTTGCGTCGGACATCAATGCTAGGTCCGTGGTTTTTGTCGCGTCGGGGGTTTATGAAGATAGCACACTGAGTTTGCAGGCTGATTTCAGCCACCCAGTGGCCTGCTGAGTTCGAGCTGAGGATCGCGAGCCACTACTTCACCGAGTACGACAAATGGCACAGCTACACCATCGCTGCTTGACTTGTGTGGACTGGCAAACTTGTGTGATGTCGAGTGTTACCAAGCTGCACGACCTCAAGATACTTTCAGCAGTTCCCTAGTGAGTTTCGTAGGGTTCAAAATCTTTGGTGCCCCAAGGGTTAAATTCCTGATCCTGTATATAAAAGGACTGGACCATGAACCACAGAACAAAATGAACAGCAAATGAAACACATTGAAACACCATCTAAAGATTCTATGATTCTATGACGGCCTTAAGCCGAGAAAAATGAACTGTTTCCACTTCTAAGGGACCACTCTTGACAAACAGAGCTGCACAACACGAGCACTTAGGACTGGATGCCGGAGCAGATCAATTGGTATGTGGCCCATGGCCCAGGGGACAAAGACTTAAACAAGTAGAACGATCTGAGAAGCACTCGAAGCTGAGTCCATGGATGTGACACGTTGCCTCAAGAGATGACTACAGGTCCTGCAAGTCGTTTGTGTGGGTTGACCTTGCATCAGACCAGTCGGAATCACAGCTGGTGATTTGAGATGGGTTAGTATAAGCCAGTGTAGAAAAGAGCCTAGGCTAGACCAAGGCCCGTGAATCTTCCACCAAGTGCTTTTTTATCCACAGCCTTGGTGAATACAAAGATGCAAAGGCACTCCGTGACTCCGTGGTTCAAAAAGAAGGTCTTTAGCTGGCGGCCTTCATGGTCGACTGCAGGATGGTCAGCTTTTCCATCGAGTGTCCTCGAATGCAAAGAGATGGCCCTTTAACCAGAAGTTTTTCCTGAACATGAACATGGCGGCAGATGCCTCAGTTTCAGACAGTCAGAACCAGAGAGTCTCGTGTCTTTCCGGTCGCAACAGCTGCGACGATGTCGTACTCAGAGGGTTGCCGCTCTCTCCGTAAGCGTTTGAGGTCCCAGATGGAAGGCTCTTTTTTTTCTCCCTCTCAGGGTCCACTCTTGAGGACTTTAAAAGGACCACACTTCCCAGCGGATGGGACACAAGCAAATCAGGTGAACGCTCCCTGGGCCAGCCATTGTCTTCAAGATCCTTTGCCATGCGCAGAGCTCCAGGTGCCTTCGGCTGCCTTCAATGGTTTTTGCTTGGATCTTGTGATTCTTGTGCGACCTGAAGATTGGGTCATGGGAGTGGCGACGGGGGTTGTGTTGCACAACATGGGGTGAGCTTACCTTGTATGTGGAAATTGCGACCGTAAACGATATAACGGTATACCTGTAATTATTGAAAAAGAGTCAGCCAGTTTTGGCCGTTCAGGGGGCGATTGGTTCAGACTATCGCGCTTCGATGCGCCCTTCATAGGTGCCTAACAGATTGGATCATCAGTCTAAAGCCCTCAAAACAACAACGCGCAAGCAAAAGCCCGCGAGCGCACCCATGGCAACAGGGCGATACCCAAGCAACAATCCCTCACAGTAGTGGCTCACATAAAATAAGTAGATCATTCAGGCTAATCCATCATCGGGAATTTGCAATAGCGTGTGTTGCTATTCCACACCTGCATCAGCTTCAACAGTATCTAACAGATGGCGCGCCTTCGAGCGCGATGCCCCACTCGAAAGCCTGAGGCCATGGAAGTGGATTATGTGCGGGTCTACCAGCTGCGGGGCCAGGCGTCCGCAACCTGCGGGGCCGAGAGAGGACGACGGACTTATTTGTGGATGCTCAGGCGGGCTAGGATCTTCTTCCGGTCAGGCCAGAGACAAAGTGGGGCAAGGATCTGGAAGAGTTTACTGTAAAAGGATCGCAACTGCCTATTTGGAAATTTTAGACCATACACGGCAGGGCTTTCGAGAGAGTGCAAGTGCTTGGGCATGCTTTCGCTCAGGGCCTCCAAAAAGGCTTGGCAGCTTGACCTTCTCAGACGGGTGGAGGGTGGCTGACCTTCCTAGCTGTAGATACCGCACAGGATCCATTCCGGCCCATCCCCATCCCCTTATTGAAGCGCTCTCCTGCGCCAGGTGGCGTGAGCCCTGCTTCAGTGAGCCCGCTTCAGCGGGCTGTGAAGGTGGGAGTGGTGTGCATAAGTTTCAGCAGTGGGGCTGGAGCAGAAACCAGGAGATGCCAGCCTTGAAGCACAGGGTCTCACTGTTTTGCGACATGCTCAGCGGATGTGGAAAAACAATGAAAAACAGGCTAACCTGGCTAACCTTTATCTTCCAGAGGTCGCGCACGGCACGCAAATCTCTAAATTGCCTGGCAGCTCCAGCTCCTTACAGGCCCCCACCCAGCTTGGCAAGGACCAGCTAGGTGGGAGCAGATCCCGACAGCAGCCAATCCAGTTCTAACTCCTCATTTCATGAACAACATGGCCTGTAGGCGTGATGAAACACCGATGGCAGCTGCAAATTCAGGCAGATAGCGGCCTTCGATGGTCCAAATGGACCAGCGCCCAAACCAGATGAAAGGTTGCTGGATAAGGAAGGGAACAAGTTGACACTTGAACCTTAGCTTTCAAAAGAGAGAGAGAGAGCGAGCGAGGGAGGGAGGCCCTTGATCAGGTTCTTCGGATTTCTTCGGAATGTTTTCGATGGGTGTTTGTCGACAGTTGCGAAACGGTCAGGAGAAGTACAAAAAGGATTGCCCCACCAAATGCATTTGCCCAGATTGTCCATGCCGCTTTCTCAGACATGTTTTGTGCCGAGCAGCATGATCGAGAAAGCGCAACGGCGTAGCGGCGCTTCTCGCTTTGGGTGGTCATGCAGCGAAAATGGATGTAATTGACGAAGAGAGCCAAGCCATGTGGGAAGATATGAGTACCTGAGTACCATTAGGACTTAGGACACCAATCTTGATTGGCCAGAAGCTCCATAATAATTGGCAGACACGAGGTCAATTTCGCAACCCACGAAGCCATAAGCCTTGTGCCAAGGCAACAATGTGAAGCAGCGGACTTTGTTCGGCAGAAGCTACTGAGCGAATCGGTGGAGTCAAATATCTCTAACAGATTTAAGTGCTTAACATAAGGATGAACGCCACCTCCAAATGTACCAATTCTGGGAGACGATGATTCATGATAAAGATGCCGCAAATGCTGGTCAAGTCTGCAGTGTATCTCACATCATTTCACTACTTCATACGTTCAAGATATTGCAGCGGTTGCACAAGGGGATCTGATTCCTCTATCCTGTCTCACCATCCAGTGCTCGTCGGACATGGTCGGAGATAGTTTTTGTGTCCGGCCCATGGCAAGCCTTCGGGGAGAGCCATATGGTCCTCCAGGTTGTACAGGCTGTTGTTGTAGCTGGTGTGGGGCCAACATGTGCAAAAAAAAACAAACAGAAGTACACCGAAAGTTAAAAAGGAAAGCCAAAAAAGTAAGAAGGGACTATGGAAGGGCCCTGCTCTAGATGCAACAGAGCTGCTAGATTATTGAGAGACCCCCTCTGAGGCACACACTCTTTGACCTCAGAATGTGCAGCCTGTCTCCAAACAGTGCTCCATCACTCACAGCTGCACTGAACTCTGCGCATGTCGATTCCTAGCCGTTCCTATAGCTGCTCGGACCATCCGCTGATCGGACCCGCTCGAGCCTCCTGCTTCGGCCCAAGACGGACAAAGCGCCGTTCTTCCCAGCCCGGTCGCGTGCCCGGCCGTGTGGCGCGTCAGCGACCGGAGCTTGCGATCCCGGCCGAGCCTGAGCTTGAGCGACCGGGCGGCAGCTTCTTGGAGCAGGTCTTCAAGCCAGCCGTCAGGACAATGGAGATCCATTTGCTTATCACGTGCCAGGACCTTCCCAGTGACCGCTTCAGGATTGGTAAAGTGACCTTTTCAAGGTCTAGTCTAAGTCTAAGTGACCTCATTCTGGGATCTCAAAAGGTCACTGGGAAGGTCCTGGTAATATTTGTAGCCAGTGCCTTTGAAGGAGAGCGTACGTGAGTCTTGTGGGCATCGCTGGGCCCATCCCCAGCTCCCCCATTGAAAGCACTTCACTCGAAGAAGCCACCTGATCAACATGTCCAATGTCACAGAATATGGGATATCTTAAATTTTCTTATAGATTATCCACACACCCCTCTGAGTTAGCAGATATTGTTTGTTAAGTTTCAACGGTTAACGTTTTAGGCTGGGGGGGTCTGTATGTGAAAGCTTACTGCGGTTAAATTAAGAGATCAGCAGGTCGTTCTGATAGTTCTGAGGTTTTCGGATCTTCTGTTTGGACTGCAAACTGAGTATTCTTGAAACTAGCAACGGGCTTGGACTGGAGCCACGGAAATGGACATATTGTTCCACGGAGCAGGTGCAATCCCACACACGGTATGTGTGAGGTCAATCCCCCTGGGTAAATTTATACAGGCGTACAGGCTGGACAATTGTTTGCAGGTTGGTGGATGTGGGGGCACAGACAACAAGCCTAGTAGGATCTAGTAGCTTTCACACCTCTAGGTTAAGGTGCAAAGGCTAAGGTGCTTGGTTTCTTGGGCTTTAATGTTCCGGGAAAGGAACGCTATGAACATTTGCTGTCTATGACTGCTCTTGCATGCTTTTGTAGGGGGCCCCTGGACATTGATTGTTGAATAATTATCTAACAAATGGTGATATCCTGGATAACTTTTGAAATCTATGTCCCAGGGTCTCAGTTAGATAAATTAGTTATTCTGGGGGGGTTGAGTGGGGGTCCTTTTAAGATAACCCATATGTCACAGACATCATCCAACTATACTTGGTGATTTCATGCAGTATGTTACACAGCATGGTCCGAAAATCGGTATGTAGCAAGTTCCGATGCTCCACAGATGCATAGAGATGGACTAGTCGGGCCATGTTTCTCTCTGACAGAGGCTTCTAGGCTTCTTCGATTCGGCCCAACTGTGAAGCATGCCGGACCTATCCAATTCGAGCGGGGAGAGGACAATGGACTTGCTCGACGTGGATGGCGACCATATTCACTTCTTAATCGATCCTCAGGGCCGTTTGCGGGAGAGCCTTGGAAGCAGTGTAGCCGGGGGTCGATCGCAGGACAGCACATGTTGATGCTTGGGTGCATGGATTCTTCAGTTCAATGGCTGTCAAATGCCCCCAAAAGGCCTTTTCTTGCAATTGGCCCTTGAATCATCCATAAGTACTCTTTTTCAAAACAATCTCGCAACCCACAGGCAGATGTTTGGAGACTTCCCTTTTCACTAGATTCACTAGATGCTGGCTATGGCAATGTTCGGGGTTTAGTTGACTTGGTCAAAGAACATTCTCTAGATCCACTTGCGACTTGCACTTCACCACGTGCTTTACCTTTCTCCAGTCCGGCGCTTTCTCCTGAGCCGTTCCGAGGTATGTGAACGGGAAGCTGGAATTGGAGCACGTGCAGTGGCTGGCGCAATGCAGCAGCACTTGGAGAGACGGTCTGACAGTCTGGGTTTCAGTCGGTCCAGTTCCATCATCATTGCCATGATCATCCTCATCCTCATCCTCATCCTCCATCCATCATCATGTTCATCAACATTTATATAATGTCCATAGGGTCCATATCCATATCCTCATCCTCATCCTGCGGTCATGCGCCCAGCAACGCCAATCAAACGTTTGCAAGTGGACAACCGGTCGCTTGTACAAAGACTGCTCGTCGACCGAGGTATGATGCTGAGACTGCCACGCTGGAAGATGAGAAGGGTCAGATTGTACTTCAGGAGAAGGATCGGGAGCCTTGGCTTTGGCTTTTGCTTGCGGGTTACCCCGAATTCTGCCAAGATGATGGCAATGCGCTGATAACTAACTCAAGTGGGAATGCGGTACGCTGATACTGCTTTGCATGGCATAGGCGCATTTAGGTTAATTGTACGTGAGGCTAATCCAAGCAAATGTTGTTTTCGCACTCACATGCGCACACGGTCGCAAACCGTGCGCAAACTTTCACCAAACATGCTCCACGCAGTGCCGTATTTTGGGGAGGTGTCTTCGAGATTGCTAGATTGGGTGGGTTGAGTTTCATGAGCCTAGGCTAATCTTTCATGATGTGTTGCTTTGACGATTTGAGGAGCTAAAAACAATTGTTTCTTAATAGCTGTGCCGTTATCAAGATCCTGTACTGTGTCTTTGTTTGCTGCATTGGGAAGACCAAAGGGCCTGGACTCTGAGTTCCCATGCTTGTTTGCACCATGCTGCCGTGGATGATGACCTGACTGCTGGTTGGCAGGAACTAATCGAACAATAGAGGTTTTTTTCTTCATGGCTCGGGTGCCAGTCCTTCACGCGTTTATCTCCGTGGGCCTGGCTTCTCGACTCCCTGGCATCGTCGATTCGGCTGGCCTCGGTGAGGTGGAGAAAGCTCTTGGGGTTCACTGCTTGGCGATGCGCGCAGGAGTGCCCTGGCGAAAAGACCCACCAGTGCCTGCACAGCGCTTGGCCATTGTGGACACTGATGGGGACCAGCCACTTGGTGATCCAAGCACTCCATACTGTAGCCGTTGGGCCGTTGGGTGGTCATTCCATGGTCATCCATAGTTTCAACCCGTAATGATGACACCTGAGGAACTCTCAAAGGGCCTTCACATTCTGAAAAAGCAGTGTTAGGTGATCTGTTGGGGATCGCTTTCCTTTTCCCGATCTCTTCAATTCTTCTTCAAGATTGCTCCCATCATTCCATGAATGACAGGATCCATGCTAGAACATCGTGAACCCTAGCCCCACCAGCAAATTTGGTATACTGTATCCACCCTGGCTGAGGCTGGAGTTTATTGTCAATGAGGATCAGAAACTACAGGACTTGATCCATTAAAATGGTTTCGATGACTGTTTTGTCGTAGTAGTACTATGTAGTACTCATCATCGTCAGTGAAACGTGACGGATGAGTCAATGGGTCGTGCCGTTTACTTGTTCAAACAGTGGCAAGTTTGTTTTGGGTTTGAGGGAGGACGAACTAGCTTGTAGATATCATTCCATTGAGGTTGAAGTTTGAAGGCACATGATGAAACACCTGAAACCACTTGCAGAACAGTAGTGCAAAAGAATCCCTGAAGCTGCTCAGGCTTTTTGTTTGGGCGCCATTCGATGCGCGTGTGCACATCAGGCTAGGGCAGAGGTTCCCATGAAACACGGTAGAGTTTGGGTCTTGTATGGTCTTGTTGGCTTGTCCCATGTCTTTCCTGGCCACTCCGCACTTGGCCAATGAGAGAAACATTCTCAAGACGTACCGAGGGGAGCACGGACGTACCGGGACGTACCGTCGTACCGCTGGTATGTTTCGCTCGGCGAGGAGTACAACAATGGAGAGCTTGATTTGGACCAAGTGACCACGAGACTTGGAAGATGGCTCTTTTAGGCTTCTCCTTTTGGGCTTCTGTTGTTTTCCGATGTTTTTGGCTCCACCGGATGATTTTGCTCGGTTGAAACGTGATGGTCCGCTTGGATTTGTATTGGGTACGTGTGAACACGTGGGTCTTGCATGGACATTTGCTGATGCAACAGCGCACGCTTAAGGCATCGGCAATCGCCCTCCATCGAAGGGACCCGAACCCATGCCAAATGCCACTGCCATGTTTGTTTGGAGCCGGGGACATAATGCCAATGCTAACCAAGACTTGCTGGCACCTATATATAGAGACTTCCATGCCAGATAAGAGTGCGACCGCGAAGACAGAGAGAGAGAGAGAGAGAGAGCCAAGCAGCCGACCTTGTCGTCCCATTGGCTTGGAACCCTGCCTCCACCCGGTCAGGATGTGCTTCAAATTCTCGGACGGGTCCATCCGCGATGACACAGGCGGGGCAGCGTGGACCTTTCCGGGGCAGCGATGGCCCATGCGAGAATCGTGGTGTGGAGACATGTGGTTGGCTCAACAATTTGGAAGAGATAGAATCAACTTAACTAAGAGTACTCGTGGAAGCTCCCAAAGTCTAAAGTTGGTTGGTGCTTGGGCGAGATGTCTTGTCGGATGACCGAAGAATGTAATGTAAGGCTTTGTTCGCTTGGTTGGGCATAGCTTTGATTTTTTTCTGACTGGGTTGTTGGTTGGGCTGGGTTTGTTGGCTGGTGGCCAGGCTTGTTGGTCAGTTGATGGGTCAATCTGTTGGTTGTGCTGACCCCGCGGAGATATCCCAAAGATGATGTCCATCCGACGTGTGTGACAGGTGTTTTCACGCTTCCTCCTCGAGAGTGCATGCAGAAGGTGGCAGCCCTGTACTCCCTTGCCATGCAGGTGAGGATGCCTCGGTGACATAGTGTGAGAACTACCCGCGAGAGCGAGAGAGAGAGGCACGGTAGTAGTGTAGAGGAGGCCCATTGCAGCAGCTGATCATTGAGGCGGAAGTTCTATGGCTCACTGCCCCACAGGTCGCCATTCCTTGTTCCCAGAGTGATTTGACCCAAGCTCCAGTTGCCCTTGAAATAAGTCGTTGTAGAACTTGACACATTTTACCTTGTTCGGCGTTTGCTTCCTCTCGTCCGCATATGTCCATAGCACAGAGATGCCGTGGCACACCGGCATGATAGAATATTATAGATTTCCAACTGGTTTGGAGAGTAGGCTTGATCAGGTAACTCAAAATTGTATTAGCACCCCACGAGGTCGAGTGCTCGCATATAAAGCTGTGTCCACCAAGCTAAGCAGTTGGCTGGAACTACAAACATCTACAAATCTGGTATGCTACCTGGGGCAGCGATCGCCTCTTAGCCAGGCTGGCATTCGTTGGACGGGCGACAACCCACAGCAGGTCTCAGCCCTGCCCGTTGGACATGAGCCTGGGAACGGTGACGGGTGACCGGTCTAGCTTGATTCTTCATTGAGGTATTTTATTACTATACACATATATATATATATTTACTATGTATATTGTTTGTTTATTGAGGGATGCAAACATGACCCTCCATATCGACCTTTTGTTTTTGGCTGATCTACCGAAAGTAGATGGCACAGCTGCCAGTTGACCAGTGTGGTTGTTCAGTAGGAGGGGGATAGCCAGGATTCGGATCGCAGCCCAGTCGCGAGTGGTTGCACCATTGACATCCATTGAGCCCATATTTTGAGATACTAATATACCGTATACCCATGAGGTTAAACATGATAATAGGACATATTAGGATGGATTAGGACGTAGGTCGAGTCGACATAGAGATATAAAGGGCTGTGGGTCGTGGCCAACGAAGTCATTGGGCGATTCCCGGCGTGACCCGGAGGTCACCGAGAGTCCGAGTCCCGTCGGACCCGACTCGTCGGACCCCGAAACGGAGAAAACCCGGAAGTGGCACTGAGCCAGGTGGCTGGGGCCAGGGGATACATGGCGATACATCTCCCGAAAATGAACGTACGACCCTGAAAATGGGACCCGGTCTAAGACGGTTTTCCTCTAGCTGCACCAGTGGTGTTCAAGGTTCATGTTAGTTTTCCACCGCTTAGGTCCTAGGTCCCTGGAAGACCTTCTTTCCTCTACAAGCAGGTGGTGGTTTTCCACTCGCTTCCATGATTGGAGTGGAGGACGTTCCACTATGGTTGCAAAATGGCATCAGCTCGGCCTGAGGAGCCGTCAAAGGCCCTTGACATTGAGAACTGCGCAGGGGCCACTCGCCCTCACATCAAGCCGAAGTGGAAGATGAAGTGTATGGGTGTGCTTTTTATTATAGGGAGGCTGCCAACCTAATTATGGGTTTGCTATGTTTGGGTTTATTTTGCTTCCTCCATGGTGTCGAACTCGGAGTTCTCCCCGTCCTTAATGTGCACACCAACGTCTTTTTCAATGACGGGACTTGAGGAAGCACGTGAGCTAGACATAGCGATATTCCCCCTTAAATTTGAACAAGCAGGCGTAGCAATTACCTGAGGGCCTGAGGGCGACTGGTAGTAGTTGTTTTTTCCTGAGATCAGAAAGGGGTATCCGCATGCTTTAGATGCACCTGCTTTTGGTAGACCCTACCCAATCCACCCGACCCAACTTGACCATTTTTGTGGAGGTGGTTGGCAGTTTTAAGCATCGGCCAGGCCTTTGACCACACTTGAATATTTAGCAGTTGCTTGAGACTGTCGGACCGATGCGGATCGACACATACCTACGTCGACCTACCTGCCCACACGCAGTAGATCTTGAAATCATCTTCAGGCTAACCCCGCAAGGCGCCGTCATTTTGACAATGGTCGACCCATGAGATCCACATATGGACTCAGAACGATCGATTGAGATCCCCTGCAGTTGCCTTTTGTTTTAGGACTTTGCCTTTGAGCGCCGTTGAAGAGCTGGGGGTCCTTCATGAGTCCGACGGAGGTTTTGATGAAGGGTCAGCTCCTAGTCGTCTCAAAACCACTGCACCAAGAAACGCACAGACACCAGTTAAAGTTAAATCACGATTTTTCTATACAAATCTACTTTTGCATGCTCAGTTCTTTTCCTCCACCTCCAAAGTTGCGGGTTCATTCTGGGAACCGTCGCTCGTTGCGGTAAACCGGACGTTCAGACTCGGTCCGGATGGTTCAGACTCGGGCGATCAAGGACTGGGAATTGGAATGCCCCTTGCTTTGGGAGAATTTGACGCCCACCGATCAGCCCAACCGACGGTTCTGCAAGACCTGTTGCATGGCTGCATGAATTCAATGAATGGGCTGGATGAATGAAATGGATGGACGGATGGATGAGAGGGTGAACGGGGCACACCAATTATAAATAGATTTTCTCAGACTTCCACAGTTATTTTCCGTGGAACCTCAGATATTGAGCACCCTTCGTGATACCTATAGAGGCTGTATCGAGAAGAGGGAGTGGTCTATTCAGGGCATGCCACTGATGGAATCTGCCTATTGGCATGTTGGTCACTGCCTTCTTTCTCCTTGGGGCGAGAAGCACACGTGCGGAAGGTCCATTTGACGACTCCCAACATCGGAGCCTCCAGCACGTCCTCTCCCAACATCGGAGCAAGGGGCTGGTTTGGATCCCCCCTAACACCCGTTTTCTTTTTATGTGATTCAAGATGATTCAAGATGAGTACACAGGCATTCCGCCGCCATGATTTTTTATATATTTGTTCCCATCTGTTTTTACATGGAACGGCTGAAACCGGACGCGCCGCACGTCGCACAGGTGGTGAGAATGTCTACTTCTGTGACACCATCGAGGAGGTCAACGCACATGCCATGGAACGACGATGTGTGGCCTTTGAAGTGCGTGAGGCCGTTGCCACGGAGGCAAGGGTGCCAGAGACGGACGGCTCCTCGGAGTGCCAGACCGGAGCGTTCAGAAGGGGGGTCGAGGAAGCTGGCAAGAGGCGGAACGGCTGGCAAGAGGCGGAACGATTTCCACCATCCTATATATGATTTTTCCCAGAAATCCTATACAAGTTGTCCAACAAAAATGCAGCTGTCCGGCTTTTTCATGATTCAAGCTTGGACCAACTGCCATCCCCATGTTGGTTTTCGCCCATGTTGGCTTCATCACAAGCGATGTTCCCTTTCCTAGACCGTATAGGTGACAAAACAAGACCACTTACTCACCTATGTGCTTTACACCGCTCAGAGCCCTTGGCTCTCTAGTCTCCCTGGTGGGCGGCTGTGTTGAGTGAAAGCCATGTACCACTTGGGTTTCCGCCAGGTCATCTAGACTCGAGCCATGAAGGTAGAACCAAACCATACCAAACCTCTTCATCCAGGTTCTTCAAAGTGACCTCTTTGGAGCTCCTAAGTGACCTTTTACAGACCCAAGTGACCCCAAACCGGGATATCAAAAGGTCACTTTGAAGAACCAGGATACGGGGGTTATATATTAATCAAGAGTCTATAGATTAGCTTCGTTTTTTGCCTCCAGCATGGTTCTTTCGTTTTTTGACGCTCGCCCAGATGTAGTGAAGCTTCACGTGGCCTTACTGTCGGGAGACGAGCTGCCAGAATTGACGGTGCCCAAAGTGGCCACTGTCAACGATGTGAAAGAGGCGCGTGAATTGGATTCCTGGATGGACGAATGGGAACGGGGCCATGCAGCCGAGTTTCCTCAGGTGATGTCACGCACTGTGAGTTAAGGTCTCATCGTGGGGTTCCCTATTTTGGAGTCCTGTTGCAATATTGATGGGGTGTTTTGCATAATAATGTAGACTTTTGACGAATAACACCTCTCATTTGGATTGTAAAACCCCTCCACAGGGGGGTGTTTGTCATCAAGAGTCTAGAGTCTACATGAGCTTTCTACTTGGGGTGCCCCAAGAGCCGCGAGAGGGGGAGACGGCAACCGTCAGGGCTGCTCTATTGGACCTTATGTAGTGTCTTGACCGACCTAGAGTATCGCTGTTTTGGTCGCGTTTCTTAGTGCAGGACTCGCCAATGTGTATTCTATTGCTTTTCTCATCGCGGGCAGTCCTACCATTCCAACCGTTCCAGAACCATCAACCCAACCCACCATTTAACCCTCACAACTTGCAGGTTCGAATGCACAACCGTCATGACTTCAGCGCCATCGGATTTTCCATCACTATGGTGGTGCGCAGTTGAACTGCTCCGCAGGAGATTGCCAACCTCTCGGGAATTCCTTCTGGGGAGCAGCGGCCACTCGCCTCAAGCCACCTCAAAAAATGGACCGATTCTGTCGAGCCAAAAACATCGATTCTCCCCCTTCTCTCCCCGTCCTTTTTGGACCGGTCGTCCACCAGTCGTCCGTGAGGCAGGGTGGAAAGAACCCGGTCGAGTCAGTCGAAAGGTCAAGAATTAAGCTGCCATGGGCCTGCCATGAGCCATATAAACGAAAGACAGAGCAGCCTTGAATACATAGCCTGTTGGGCCCTATGCTCTATGACTATGACAATATTTGATACAGTGTAGGACCTATACTATATGCTGACACGTTCTGTTCGTTTTCAATGCAGTCTGTTTTGTGTGCATCCCAGGCTGCTTCTAGAAGGACGAGAGCTCGAAAACACCGAACGAGCGGGTGCTTTCTGTGAGACCTCCGGAACACCTGATAAGGCTGGAGCTGATGTAGCTGATGTAGTACTGATGGAGCTGGTAGAAAACCCGACAAGCTTTTCCACTCCGATCGGACACGGAACAAATACACCACCCGGACCGCCCTGGAGGAATACACCCTATCTTCCGAAGTGCGGAAACCAGATTGTGCAACAGCAAAGTGAGCAAGATACTGGATTTGTTGCCACTGTCGGAAGAATCTGGTAATCCTGAGGGATGACTTCGGGATGACCCATGATTTGCTCGGCGACTATGCCCACCTAGCCCGGCCCTATACGGATGGAACACCATGCAAAAACAAAGAAGAAACAACATAATATCTACGAATACATACGAATACCCACAGTCCCCTGAAGAAGATCTTCAACGATCCTCATCCCAAACATGTTGATTATCCTGAGCTCATGCATTTTTTGACCTGTCCATTGACATTCTAGCATTAAGTGTCAGAAAGGAGCGCTCTCAGCGGCGCGTTGTTGAATATGTTTCAATCAGCAACTTTTTGCCACTGTCCCCTCTCTAAAGTGTATTACCCGTTGCTTTAGCTCCAAATATCTAAATGTCCAAATCCGGTGGCGCCCGGCGGGGTGGCTAAGCCGCGTCCAGGCCTTTCTCCAGCTGCTGCGGGTCTTGAAGCCAGTGCGTGAGCCCACCCGCGAGCCAGGCAGGTTCGGTTGGACAAATGAAAGGCCACGTGGGTGACAGGAGCGAAGTTTCCTATACACGGAGCTCCGGACATGTTGTTCGGTCGATTCTTGGAGCGAGGTTGATTCATAGTCCTTCTGACAGTTCGGCATTGAATAAGGGGCCCAATGGGTGCCCTAGTGGGCACTCCAAAAGAGGATGTTTGACTCCGGATCCATATTCCCTGGTTGTCACGGAGCCGCTTTTCAGGTAAAGTCAAGATGGGAAAGCGCCGCCCACCACGCAGATGGGGGCCTTTTTGATGCAACAGTTGGCCTATGTTGGGCTGCTTGCCAAGGTGCCTAGTTGTCAGCTAGTGCAACTTTGCAAGAAAATGTGGAGACACAAACAAGGCGACCCTTGAACAATGATGCGGACATCAGAAACTGCCTCAAAGTAGTTCGCTATAGGGGATTGCGAGTGGATGATTGACATCAACTCCGGCGACCATTCCCAAAGTGGAAAGAGAGAGATCCGCCTCGCAACCTGCCGGTATAAATGATTAGAAGTCAAAGCCGCGTCAGTTGAACCGCGGCATTTGTCCGAACCCCTGGCAGCCCTGGCATGGCTGATACACTTGGTCGGGATATTTTTTGGGGTTTAAAGAGGCTTCAGGCTTCAGGTCTTCAAGTTGACATGAATCATGTTCAATGGCCTCGTGCGCCCTTGGCAGGCAAAGTGAAGATGGGAAAGCGCCGAAAGCCGGGCCGAGAATATTGAAGTTCTGAAGAGGAACTTGTTGAGTTGGAAGTGGCTCAACATGTTTGATGGTGTTGTGTTCATGTGTTGTTGTTGTTGTCGTCGTCGTCGTCATCGTGGTCGTCAAGCAGTAGTATTAATTTGATTTGTTTGCCCTATGGTGTGTGTGGGCTAACTTCCCTTGCATGATGGTGTTTTAAAAGCCACAGCTGTGTAGAACCGCATTCCTCGCGCTCAGCTTGCTTGGCGAAACGCCCGCGTTCAATTTGGCAAAAAGTGGGCGAAGACCTTCTGTATGTTTCAGAAAAGGCTGCACTGCTTGTGCCGGCCTTTTGGTTTTTGCACTAATTAGTCACTAGGCAATGGAGAGACTTCCATACAAGGTGCCTCTTTTGCTTCCAGTATCTTCCAGTCATGTGCATACATTGGCCAGTGATTCATAGGCTGAAGACCTTAACGCTGCCCGCGTTTGAACATTACTCTTCGTGATTGTTTTCACCGACGGCGTAGCCGGACTCGCTGGCCACTTCTTTAAGTTGAGTCCGTTTTTGTGGCCAGAACTGCCTTAGACGGCATGCCATAGCATCTAGTTCACCGATGGATGCTGTAATGTTCAAGAACTGTGGAGACCGGCCCCGGGATGCTGAAGTGAAGCCTGGGTTGTTTGGGGTGCATGTTGAATCTTCAAAAGCAGCGCCCAATCACCCAAGGGTGAATTAACCATAGTGTACCATATTTCCCTGGCGATGCAAATTCACCGCCCTCCATTGGAAAGTCCAGATTTTTTCCCAATAAATTTGCTAGCACGGGGTTTCGCGGGCAGCTATGGAGCAGCCGCTTGACAAACTCTTGAAGCAAATTAGGTCTCTGAGTGATGAGGAGCTTGATGCAGTCATTGCTATTGGTCAACAAGAGAAGGCCCTGCGACTTCTACCACCGGTGCATGTGACCTTCCAAAGCATGGCTGAAAAGCTCCTGGAGTGTATGTGCGAGCCAGCACAGTCCACCCAGGATTTGAAGAGGTTGCTGTCAAGCGTGTGTGGTGAACCTGATGGTTTCGACCTGGTTTGCCAGAGCTACGTCATGCAGCCATCGGACAGATTGGCGTCCCTCGGGGAAGGTCCCAAGGACATCCAAGTGGTGAGATGTCATCCGCAAATCGACCTCGGAAAGGAATTGAATTGGCCCAACGTTCATCATGCCCTTCATATCGCCTCGGGTGAATGGGTCTATGTGGTGAAATCATCGGGTTCTTTTCTTGATGGGGAGACACTGTATCGGACCCTGTCGCCTGAAAGTCTTTGGCGAGAGATCCGCCCAAGCACGTCTACCGTGGCTGCGATTTCTGCGATTAGCGCTTTTTCAATGGCGGTATCACCCACGAAGGAATCAAGGATAGCGGTGGTGGACGCCTCTGAATTTGATGTATCTTTCCTTGCAGACGTTGTGGAGACGGGCAAGGTCTTCTTCTCCTTGAAAGGTGGACATGATGGAAATCCTGGACATCGCCATGTGCTAGCAGCATGGCCCAATGCTTTTCCCCTCGAAGCAGCGGAGGCCCAAACGGTTGACATCTTGGTTTCAAAGGTGGTGGCCACTGGACAGATCCAACCCTTGTTGGAACAATGCAGATCTTTGCTTCACAGTGACTCTCGCGTTCTTTTGGTGGCCGCCCAGGAGACAGTTGAAGCTGCACCTGTCGCTTCTGAAATATTTTGTTCCCTTTGTGTTCAGGAGATTCGCAAAGCGGGTCTCCGCCCCCTCGAACTTTTGACCTTGCAGCCCTTCAGTGATAGTGCGGTGATTGCCGCCACCACCAAGAAAAGGGCTGACAGAGGATAGCTGGGATCTTCGAGTCCAATAGCGGCATGGATTGCAATCAATAGCGACCATGAACGGCCGTGGGTTGAGGGCGAGTGACGGGAGGAATGATTCACAATGCCCAAATGAACGTTCTTTCCTGCAAATTGTACGAGAGAGGGAGAGAGAATGAGAGAGGGAGTGATGGACAGCGGTTTAGTGGAAGTGCTGACTCGTTCCAACCAATGCTGTGGTACGCCGATCCAGCAGAATCAGATTCTTCCAGCAGTCACAAAGGGGTGGTGTTTAGTCCCTAAGTCAGTGGATAATGGGCACCCCTAACCTCCATTAAGCACCCCTTTGTGACTGCTGGTTGACGATTCTTGTCACAAGAAAAGACGCCAATCAATTCAGCAAACAGTTGGACTCACGGAGTGCCTCGTCGATGACCCGGCTCGGCTCTGAGTGGGTGGAAAACCACCAGATTCCCATCCTCACCAAGGGCACATCCAGTTACACTATGTTACACGCGTTTTCTTTTCAAAAAGCCCAGAATCCCCGCACCACGGGACTCCAAATGTATGGATTTCGAGGTTGAGCATTGTGGGCCAGGGAATTTTGGGTTCCCTGCGCACTGGGGCGAGCGTGATCACTCCCCCTATACTGACGGACGTGGTGACGATTGCGCTGGCCGCGAAATGGCGAGATGTTGCAGTCTGCCAGGGCCGCAGGGGCAGGGCGGGCAAGAGTGCTCATTTGATTTGTTTTGTTTTCCGGATCGAAGGCCGAAGAAGATTTCAAGAAAGATCATACAAACACTTATGCCCTGTTATGTCGTTGACAGACCTTTGATCCACGGACCCTCTACTATGGAATTCTCACCGTAGAAATAAACACCATATTATATGTTTGAATATTTGTGTAGACGTTGTCAAGGCCGAAACCTTTGCACACTTGTAGAATTCCCGAGCCAAACTGAGTACTTGGGAGAACAAAACTGTTTGCTCTTTTGGTGTGTGGACCTGGTCGGAAAACTCTGAGAGACCAAACATCATTTGGAGGAACAAAGAAAACATGGAGAACAAATTCAAAAAACTACTTGGATAAAAAACACTAAACAATGTAATAGCCAATTTGAGCAATACACATAATTTGTTGTTCTTATCATTTGGAAAATTGCCAACAAATAAACACTTATATATTTAAATTCAAAGCCAACATATATATATATATTTATCAAACATTTATAATATATTATTTGTTTAACCGTGAGATTCAATCAATAGTTAATAAAAAGACATTAGATTTACAAATATAGTAATAATATGTTAACATGTTGTGTGGGTTTATTTATTGGATCAACACAGCCATTCATTGTTTAAATCATTGATATGGATCAATGAATGGCTTTTGTTGATTCACAAAAATAGTAAATAATGAATATATATATAATATATTCTTATAGTCTTTAGTGTATACATGTAGTAGTGATGTTCTTTAATTATTGTGTTGATGGTTCAAGATAAAGCAAACATAATAATTGTATATGTTTGTTTAAGTAATATGTGGTTCTTTTAGATATCTTGTGAATTTTCAGCATACCACTATATACTCACAAAAACACACATAGAACTTGCTTTCAGTGTTTCTTATATTATACAGGGCCGTATAGTTCCAACAATATGTGTTTTTAATGTTATTTTTTGGCCACCGCCAACGCCTGGTGGCCAGCCAGGTCAGGTGAAAGCAGTGTCACCTTGCCTGTCCCCACTTATGTGCTACACTGCTACACCCCGAGCAGTTCTTGGAGCATTTTGTTTGGTTTAATGAAAGAGGGCTGCTTCAGGCAGCTCTTATGCCACGCATCTATGACTGTGGCTTTGTTTTTTGGTCAGCAGTGAGTCAGCACTGGCCAGCGGGGTTGTTTCAGATCATGGGCTTCAGCAGGCCCCAAAAGGTGTTGTTTCTTGGTCTCCAGCACTTAGGAATAATGTAATCTATATAGACTTTATTCCTAGCATGATACACCCTAAGTCACGAAATTTGGCACCCTCTACCAGCTACCAAGCTGGCATCCAAACCGGTCTTAGCGCCGGTTCACCTCGGAGCATCCAGTTCGATCTTCGGCACCGGGGCACCGAGCAACATCTTCGCACCCAGGCCCTGGAGCAACTGCTCCTGCGCTTCTTGGCGCCCTATGTCGCAACTCGGCACCGGCACGTGCGGCGTGCGGAAGGGGCTGTGACCGAGCGGAAACGACGGGGCTTGGTGACCCCTGCTTCACCTCCCTATCGGGACATGGTGGGATGCTGGACACACTGGACTCATTCACAACCGGTCTCCACACGTGCCGACATCCCTTTGTAACATGATTCTTCCGGCTTCTTCCAGTCTCTTTGACCTGTTCACGTCTTGTCTCTTTGACCTGTTCTTGCCTCTCCCATGTGCTCCCTCATCTCACCACTATCGCACAGATGGCTTGACCTCTCCCTTGGCCTCACCCTACATTGAACATTCTATGGATCCCGGTCTAGGCACAGATCCAGGACTAAGTCACAAGCAGAGCACCTGAAAAACTCATTGCCTGATTGCAATGCCCAAGATCACCACAGGACCAGGGTGGTCATTCAGAAGAGTTCATGGTTACTTTCAGTATCTTTCAAACACCCAGAGCTCATCTTTTTGGGCACCTGATATGGCAATTGTTTTGCGCCAAACTCCCACAGGCAGCTTGGCTTGAATGCCTGTGGAAGACAATGGCGAGCCAACAGACCACCTAGCCCCTCAACCTGTGGCAGCCGACCCGGCAAAGACAATATAGACATGATTCTAATTCTATGATTCATTGTGTTCTTCAAACATTGATTAAGATGCTTCCCCCGGCTACAGAGGGTCAAACTAATTCATCAACAGTCCTCATTTGTTCGTCCTTTTTGCTTTGCAGATTTTGCTCTGACTCAGAACCGAGGATGGCATCTCTGCCGACAAGCTCCGCCTGGGGGTGCCTCTTTGGGTGGGTTTGGTGGCCGATACGTCACCAGGTTTGGTGCCTCCCGCCACGACTGGGTAAGACCTTGGAACACCCACTATAAGCCACCAATGAAAGACTAGGAGGTTTTTTAGGTCAGGTGGCGCAGGATTACTTATGTGCAGGGATGCGTGATGTCAAGACTTTTTTTCAGAATATCAATGCCAGTGCCGTTTTCTTTGCTTCCAACCAGGCCCGAATTTGAGTGTTTCGCCACCGCCGAGCGCCAGGTGCTGCGGGGCTCCTTGGAATTGGATTCTTTGACCGTCAAGGCCGAGGCTCCCTCCTTGCCGGAGGGCCTAGAGCAGTGAGGCACCAAAGATGCGATTCAGAGCATGGGCTGGAAGACAGTGGTAGCAGGTTCTTGGGAAGGGTAGAATTCAGTGTTTGTTTTTTATTGTGCCAAGGCCCGGCTCCTTTTTCTTTCCTGGTTGACGGGGCATGCGGCTGGTTGTGCCTATATGTATCAAGCCAACCCCCGAGGAATGTGACGGCTTTCAATAGACTCAGAGACACAGAGACTCGTTTCCCAGGCTGGGCCTTGAGGGTCTACGCGTGCGACGTGGAGGCCTGGTTCCTGGTTCCGGTGTTTTTTCCAGGATGGGGTCTAGCCCTACAGTAGCCCCAAGAAACTGACTAGGATTGACTAGGAACAGGTTCCGAAAAAGGGTTCTTTTCCTTCACCTTTGAGCTGGAGGCCTACCAAGAACCCACTGTACAATCCTGAAAAAACAATACAAGCATGCCAAGAAGCAAAGCGTCTCCTTTCTTGCGCGCAAGTTTGCAAGAGACGCAAGACTCAATGACGTTGCCATTTGCATATGTTTACACCCTTCAGGGACGGAGATGTGTGGACAGTAGAGCTTGATTAGGTATCCAAGTGTCCCATGTTCTGGAGAATGGCCAGTTTGCCCAACCATGTCCAACCTGTTGACACTTGTGGTAAGACAGCCAACGTGTAGAATTGCTTTATCAATTGAAGATCATTTTTTAGGAAGCTTCTAGGTGGAGGCCATCGCTATTCGGTTGGAGGCCATCGTTGGAGGCCATTGCTCCATTCCAGTGGCTTTCTCCGGACGGAGCAGAGGAAGGGATGTCGCGCGGCCGGTGATGTCGCCGGATCGAGGCATTGGGCGTTTGCAACTGAAGATACCTTGGAAGAAGCTGCCACCTGGCGGGGGAAGGCCAAAATGGCGCGACCCATGATGCATCATGATGCGATGAGGTGATTTCGTCCCCAATCCGGGGAGTCCCCAAACTCAGGAGCCGTGTGTTCAAGTCTCAAGCTCCCACTCAAACGACTGATTTGGTATCTTGGATGGCTTCAAACCATCTCGCATGTCTCCACCTTTTGCCCCAAGGAATGCAGATGTCAATTCTTGATTGCAAATCCAACAGTTCACTCCTAAAAACAAACATGGAAGTGGAACAAAAGCCCAGTTGGTGGATGAATAACTATATATATCCCTAGTGCTCCAGAGCATCTCTAAGAAGGTATCCGGAAAATCATC